GAATGCTGAGCCGCTGCCCAGGATAGACGATCTTTTAGATCGAGTGCAGGGTTGTAAGTATTTCTCTAAGATAGACTTAAAGTCCGTATACCATCAGATAGAAGTCCATCCTGATGACCAGTACAAGACTGCATTCCGGACTAGATATGGACATTATGAGTTTATAGTGATGCCCTTTGGACTGACCAACGCGCCAACTACTTTTCAGCGTTGTATGAATGACTTGTTTAGACCATGGTTAGATAAATTTGTAGTAGTCTACTTAGATGATATTCTAGTTTTTAGTAAGACCCTCCAGGAGCACGAGGGTCATCTGAGGCAGGTCTTGGAGAAGCTTAGAGAGGGTAACTTCAAGATCAATGCGAAAGAGTGCGAGTGGGCCACGCAAGTCTTGTACTTGGGCCACGTGTTGGACGGAGATGGCATTAAGCCAGAGGACAGCAAGATCGCTGCGATTAGAGACTGGCCGACGCCCCGCACATTAACAGAGTTACGGTCGTTCCTAGGCTTAGCTAATTACTATAGGAAGTTCGTGAGGAACTTCTCCACTATCGTCGCCCCCTTGCCCAGACTGCTAAAGAAAGAGGCAATCTGGCAATGGGATAAAGATTGTGCGTCTACGCTCAAGAAGTTAAAGCGCGCGTTAATAGAATATCCTGTCCTCAAAGTAGCAGATCCATCCTTGCCATTTGTCGTTACGACGGACGCTAGTCAGTATGGGATAGGCGCCGTGTTGCAGCAAGACGACGACAATGGTTATAGACCCGTAGAGTTCATGTCGGCGAGAATGCCCTGTGAGAAGGTTGCTACCTCCACGTACGAGAGAGAACTCTACGCTCTCAGGCAGGCTTTAGACCATTGGAAGCACTACCTGCTTGGGAGGCACTTCAAAGTCTATTTGGACCATGAAACGCTTAGATGGTTGAAGACCTAGGCCAAGATGACACCTAAGTTGACCAGGTGGGCCGCAGAGATAGACCAATTCGACTTTGAGCTCAAGCCAGTGAAGGGCAAGTATAACGTGGTTGCGGATGCTCTAAGTAGGAGATCGGACTACTTTGGAGCTGTAGTACACTATCTGGATATAGGGAAAGACCTGCAGGAGAAAGTGAAGCAAGCGGATGCGCAGGACCCTATCTATAGCGACCTCCTAAAGAGAGTTAGAGAGGCTCCAGAGATCGAACCAGATTACCGCACTACAGACGGATTGTTGTTTGAGAAGACTAATGTGTTTGACCGCCTGTGCGTCCCCAACAACGAGGAGATTCGTAGTCTGATCCTAGGGGAATGCCACAATATTGAGGGACACTTCGGTTGGCAAAAGACATTAGCCAATCTAATGCGCGCGTATACCTCGCCCGGAATGAAGAATGACTGCATAGAGTATGTTCGCAGTTGTAAAGTGTGTCGAAGGAACAAGTCTACAACACGCGCACCCCTAGGTCTTCTCAGACCCTTGCCTATTCCGGATCAGCCGGGAGACTCAGTGTCCATAGACTTCATGGACACCCAAGTCAAGAGTAGACATGGTAAGAGCCAAGTCATGGTCATAGTTGGCCGTTTTAGCAAATATGCAGTTTTCGTTCCTTTGCCTGCAGAGGCACGTACGGACTTAGTTATACAAAGGTTTTTTGACTTTTGGGTTAGTGAGAATGGAATCCCATTGTCAATTGTTAGTGATAGAGATAGTCGCTTCACGAGCTAGAACAGGCAAGAACTCATGAGAGTTTACGGATCTAAGTTGTTAATGTCATCTGGCCGTCACCCAAAGACTAACGGTCAGACAGAACAGATGAACAAGATCCTACAACAAGTTCTGCGCATGTACATTAGACCAGATCAGATTAACTGGGATGAGATGTTGCCTAAAGTAGCTAGTGCATACAACAATAGCGTGCATCTATCGACCTGCTGCACTCCCAATGAGTTGCACAAGTCCTTTAGACCACGCASACCGTTCGAAGGACTGAACCGGGATCAGATTCACAGACTACCGCCCAGAACCAGGGAGTTTGCTTTCCATCATGAGAAAGAGTTAGCAACTGTTGTTGAGAACCTCAAAAAGACCCAACATAGAATGATAGAACAGGCTAATAAGCACCGTCGCCCCTCACAGTTTCAAGTAGGCGACTTAGTCTGGGTCAAGTCTAAAGAGTTTGCACCTGAGGAGCACATCTCGCAGAAGTTATTGCCTGCCTATAGAGGACCATGGCCGGTATTAGAAGTCAAAGGCGGAGAGGATGGACCGTCCTATACTATAGAGATCCCAGCACGCCGTCACACGTACCCAGTCTTCCATGCTTCCAAGTTGCTTCCGTGTGTCACAAGTGAACAGTTCCCCTCGAGAAGATCCATGATCCCTCCGGATATGGATGGAAGGTACGACATTGACGGCATTGTAGACGAAGATGTGTTTAGAACAGGAGGTAGAGGTCGTCCCCAGAAACAGTATAAGGTTCGGCTTGCCTACCAGGAGCCGAAAGACAACCGCTGGTTCACAAGAACAGAACTGTTGGAGACAGCCCCTGACATAGTGAGGGCTTACGAACGAGATAAGAAAGGTA